TACTTTAAAACAAGTGAAGGACTTTGTTTGTTTGTTTTTTGAATTTCGCCCAAAGCTACATGAAGGCTATCTGCGCTAGCCGTCACTAATTTAGCAATGTAAAACTAGAGGGAAGGCAGCTAGTCATCACACCCACCGCCAACTCTTGGGCTTCTCTTTTACCAATGAATAGTGGAATTGACCGTCATATTATAACGCCCCCATGGCTGAAAAAGTGAGCATGTTTGGTGTGACGGTGATTCGAAGCTGGGCCTGTGAAGTACTTTGAACCAACTACTGATAAAATTGTTTGCTTAGGTCAACATTTTAAATGTGATGATTATATTGTTGATAATATAATATCGATAATTTTTTATTTACAACAAAGCATCCCATAATAACTTTTTGATGTACGCCCGCCTATTTTAATTATATTTTTATTTCTGTTTTAGTATCGTATATGAATTAAAGCTTATTAATCATTATCAATCGTTATTAATCACGCTCATTAAAATGTTTTTCAGATTAATTATTTTTGTATTCAAACTACAATATTTTGTTTAGCCCATTGTATAGCTTTGCGCTTAAGAACAAAACAGAAAACGCTCAAATTGTATCATATAAAGTATTATTACCAAATAATTTAAGTTTTGGCAAAAAATTATAATGTTGATACCAGCAATATCAAGGATTCTAGATAAAGGTATTCAATTTACTACTTCAGAAATCCAGCTAAACACCTTCTGGTTAGAGCACTAGACTCGCAATCTGCGGATTGCGGGTTCGAATCCATTCATCGAACATGCTTGTTCTTTCAGCTGTGTAGGTGTCACAATGTTACGGTCAATCCCAATATTCGTTGGTAAAGAGCAGCCCAAGAGTTGGCTGTGGGTGGTGTAGACTAGCCGCCTTCCCTCCAGGCTATCACTGCCCTCGAGCAGTTTTGTGCGAAATTCAACATACAAAAAAGCAAACCAGCAAAATGTGTATTGCAGAAAACTTAATTAACGAAATGAAAAAGCTAGATTCAGGCAGAGACATTCCTTATTTAGAACTTCTGACCAGATAGGGTAAGCAATCAGAAGATGGCGTCGCAGTACACGATTACTCTTAACCGTATAGCGGAGATTGACTGTCACTTCTAAAGCGGGCTGCAGTCAAAAGTGTACAGCTTGTTCAGCGGTATATCGCGGCTCAAACCTTAGACCATCTGAACAATAGCCCTGCGTGCAACTACTAGGTTATGCCCATTTTCACAAAACACATAGATACATCAGAAATACAACTCGACCATTATACTAAAACGATTTTATAATTTTAATTATATCTCTCATTTTCGTTAATAGCAATCATATCTTTTTTCATTAGACTAACGTTTTATAGATATAATATAATTTATATATATTAAACAGTGTTTTTTTCTTTTCCTTCTAGAGGGCCGCAGCTTAGCAAGAAAACATGGCTGCAAATTCATTGAAACTGCTGCATGTATAAATTACCAGGTAGATGAACTTCTTGTTGGAATTCTGAGTCAGATTCGACTCAAAAACCTGTGTGGACACCCAACTAAGAAGTATCGAACGTTTATTAGTCTAGGAATATTCGAAAGTAAAGTAGAAAACTCTTTAATTCAGAAGAATAAAACCTTTTTCGGGCGATTTCTAGAAAAGCTGTTTGGAAAATCTCGATCATGTGAAAACTTGCATGTACTCTGATCGAGAGGAGAGGTTACATCTTCAGCATCACTGTAGTGTTAATCTCAAATTCAAATTGTTGACTGTACTAACCGACTCTATTATGTTTTATTCGAAATGCGAGAAATTAACGTTGTTTTATAATTTTTACTCAACAAACATTTACTAAAACCTATAACTGGTTGAGTCAAGATTGTCTCAAAGGCAGCGTAATCTTTACGAGTAAAATTACACTAATGATATGAATACTTTTGTACCATGTTAATCAGAATTTAATTGAAGGTAATTAAAGTGTTTCTCAGCTGAAGAGGATAACACTTTCGAGAAAAAATATAACACAAGACTGAGAACGATGATCATTTTTCCAAAAGGCTTTGTATTTCAAATATTACTTAGGTGATGTTAAATGAAATTTCTGTGGATATGCTGTAAATCACGTTTCTTGATAGTGGTGCTAATTGAACATGGCTAAAGGACGTAAAGGGTTTCAATTAGTATACATAGGTAATTTAAATAGATGCCTTAAAGAAAAGTGTATTTAATTTGCATAATCTCCTGATACAGTTATATATGTGTGTGTATAATCTCTATACTTCAGAGCAATATCAATTATTGAGAACTTGTGAGAAAAAACTACTATTCAAATTTAATTATTTTTTTATTATTACCACATTTTTAGTTAAGGAGACAACAATCTTTGTTGTGTTTCGTGATTGTTTAAATGAAAACACAAATAAAACGTTTCTATTTTTTAAAAATTCATAAGAACGCTCTAATTAACGACCTGTGATATTCTGATACATATAAATAAGTTAACACTATTCTGTCTGATGTACGTATGTTCATGTATTTATTTCCCCATAGTGCTTCTAATTCAGAAACACAAATATGTATATGAGAAATTATTTATCTAAGTAATAAAGTAGTAATTGTTTTTTTAATATTATATGTACATATCTGAAGGTTTTTCATGTTTATAAGATTAGAATAAAATATATATTTTTTGTCTTCGTAATGAGGCATGGTCTAATATTCAACTGTTGCTAATTCTGATTAACAGTCTATGGTTTTGGTTGCTTATTATTACTATTATTTTTACTTTTTCATTAGTAGTCACTTTAGAATTCATAGAGAACTTTAATTGCAATGTAAGCGATTACACAGATTAAACTGGGAATACGACTTACACAGATC